CCTCTCTCTCTCTCTCTCTCTCTCTCTCTCTCTCTCCTCCATCTGGTTTCAAACATGATTGGTTTCTTTATAATGCAGTGCGACAAGTCTCTTGGTCAGAAGATCGCAACCCGTCTTAATGTAAAACCAACCATGTGAGGTGCTGCCAATTATGGTCAAGAATAAGCTTTGAAACTGCACTACTGAGAATTGGAATGGTGTCCAGATGAAACTGATGTTAAATGTATTTGTACTGAGTACATCCGAGTATGATCCATTTATGACAGATCTGGTATTATAATGTACTGTTGAGTCTTCCTATCCTACTATCTACATATCATGTTCTTTATAATATGATATCTCGATATGTGTATCAATTGCCAAACTATGCCTGCTTCTTGACAGCCCTTCCCATACTAACTGGTTCTAAGACAACTTCTCTGGATATTTGATTTAGAACCTTAATTTGCCTTTGGTGTATTTGTTTAATAGATATCAATTACCCTTTTTCCAATAGTTGTATTGATGCTCTATGATGATAAATAAACATCAACTTGTGGTGATCGATACTGATGAGATTTGGAGCATTGAGTAGTATCAAAAGGTTCCATATAATGGTTGTGTAATTGGCAGCTTAGTGCTGCTTGGTACTATATAATTTGTTCATTTAACAAGATCGCGTTCTATTCTCTTAGTGTGACTTTGTAAAGTGGAAGATATATTTGTTTTGCCATGACAGTAAATGATGGGTTGGTTGCTTAGATCATTGAAGCTGTGGAGATCCAAATTTACACATGTAATCAGCACTGTTCTTGATGAACAAGACCCTCCATGTCAATGATCAAAGATAGTGTACCATGTAATGCCGAGTCAAGATCTCGGCTAACTCCAGCTAAGCTACAGTTGCCTTTTATGAGAGGATGTAAATACACACATGTTGGCTAATACAAGTCATTGTTCCACAAGGCAGAAGTCCTCACTCTCCTACCGCAACATGCTTTTTTAGTGCATTCGCAGAACGATGAGCGAAGAACTGCTGCCTAAGCTTTACATATGGATAGCCAACCATGGAGAGGAAGTGTGCAGGCTTAGAGAAGGAATAGATTTCATACCAGACCTCGTCGTTCTCGTCCCGCTCGATCGAGAAGCGCTCCTCCCCAGCCTATTCACGACATATGCAGCAAAAGAAAATAACAAATGTTTTCGTCATGGCCATCAGCAACATAAGAACATTTTTTATCTAGTTTTTCGAAGGGATAGCATATGCTTATTGACTGTTGCTCACCCTTCCTCTATATATACACAACATAATTCTGGAAAGACAGGCTCTTCATCTTTTTGCAAGCAATTTATTTGCATACTCTGTGATGATTCTAACTAGTGTTATACTTGTCCATCCCAAAGAAGCAGATCTCCATTAGTAAAGGCCAGAAGAAGTCGTTTCATATTGGGAACAGATATTAAACTATTGGGAATGGTATACGAATTAAAGGTGAACTAAGATCTGAACATCAGGTTAGGGTCAGATTGTACATTAACTTGATTAGCATTGCTTATCCATCGCCTCACGAAAAGATTGTATGTGGATTTATGAGCTGTTGCAGTGGATTGAAGAGGTACAATATAAAGGGTATGTACAAATAGGAGAGGAAGTAAGCAAATAGATGGATGATACTGCACTCTCTCTTTCTTCTCGATAGTAATATTGTGGACTTGCGTGCTGTTGCAATGGATCGAAGAGGTGAAATATAAAGGGTATGTACAAGAGGGCAGGAAGTAAGCAAACGGATGGATGATACTGCACTCTCTTTCTTCTCGATAACAAATATCCAGCATTTCAGGTACTATGAGAATTCCTATGAGACACTAAATGAGGTTTAAACACACACCACAAATTTGTCTGACATAATATTCTTATTCTACGACTATTACCGTATTCTTTATGAAATCTGATCAACAACACTAGTTAAGCTAGTTAGCCTGACATTCTGTAAGTTGCTTGCTGAGTTCTCTTTATTGTGATCTTTCACCTAAAACTGATAATTGATAAGGTTAATGCAGATTTTGGTTTGTTCGATCGTAAAACCAATTTGGAGCTAACCGAGTTCCTATTTTGCGCTTGCCTCTGACAAACTTTGAGAGAATGCCAAATCCTCCTTGTCTCTTTGGGTGCTAACCCTATAGAATTGTGACAGGGACGCGCCCGACAAAGTCCCTCTGATGCTTAAGTTAATCTCAGTTATGAGATATTGACAAAGAGCCGAACCCTTAAGGGGTGAATGCACAAAAGCCTTAGAATTTCAATATGTTGAGGTATGCATCTAAAGAGGCCTTTTATAGTGTGGCTTTAGAATCGTTATGCTTGAAAACATGTATTGATGTCGGAGACGAATACATGCTTCTCCTGGTTCTGGCGAAATCATGTCGCGCCAGATCCGAGGAACATGTAACAATTGTGACATGGTTTATAAGCATGGGGGACGACTCCATACCAACCACACGATGTCGAAATGTTGGACACATGGTGCTGCGCCATCGACTATGTGGCAAAGAGGTGTTGGCCACATAATGCCAGGGTATCGGCTACATGGCGAGGTGTTGGCCATGTAACGTCAGGATGTCGACTACGTGATGAGGAGGTGTCGACCACCCAATGCTAGAGTGTTGATTATGTGACGAGGTGTTAGCCACATAATGCTAGAGTATCGGTTATATGGCGATGAGGTGTCAGCCAGATCATCATTCCCTATCATATAGAAATATGATAAATCACAGTTCATTTGTTTCCTATCTCAACCAAGAATCTTTTGGCTCAAGTGATCCACATATAATTAATTGAATGTAAATCCAAACCAACGTGAACAATGATTACCCCTCCCTCTCCTTTCAAAAGACAAAAAATCCTTAAAAAGGGATAAACATTATTTCACTATTCCAGTCTCCCAACTGGTGTATACCTCAATCCAAAAGGGCATGAATATTTCAAGTGACATGGTCAAGCTAATGTTCCAATATTGAAATATTTTCTTATCACATTTAACGCAAGTGGTAATTCATGCTAGAATCAAAGATCACTAGTGCAGAATAGTCTAGAAAGATATATCGACATTTAGAACTCATTAAAAAAAAGTAAATTTGACATAAAATATATTATAAATAGAATTCAGTCATAGAAAGAAAAAACTGCTTTGAGGTCAAAATCAAACAAGATCTCAATCCTAAAGCTAAAAGAATAGAAGAACAGTGAAAATCTAGAAAAATGACAAGCTCTTTAACATTAACAAAGACTTATATAAAATTATCATCTTTTGTAGTCGTTTGGCAGCACTAAACATTCTAACTATTCACTCATGTGGATTCTATCTATCATCTACTTCCAGATTTCCATCCCTTGCTCTTTGTTTTTTCTTTCTTGTACATGCCCATGAGGGATGGGTGCCTTAATCAGTTAATATGAAGCATTAAGCCACATTTTCTTCTTTTTGAAGTGATGCAAGATCCAATATTATGCAGTAGAGTGCCCTTTAACATCAACCACTTTAATAGTCTCGATTTATGTGCTAATAAGATCCAAACAAGGCCTAACATATATAATGATGATCACTGCTGTTATAGGCTTAGCCATACAACTAGTTAACCTGAAACAAAACAAGTAGACAGATATGTAGAAGTTCACCTATAAAACCAAATGATAGAAAATAGAAGCCATTGATCTAAAGCTTGATCTTCCAGTGATGCCAAATCATATCAACTGTTCCCACTAGTCGAACAGGTCCTCTTCGATGACAGGTATCAATCCCATTGTTCACGAAATCAATAGTGTTGATTCTAGTATCCTCTCTCTCTCTCATTCTAAAGGTTAGAGGATGGTTTCCCACTTTAAGCTCAAACCTATATGATCATGATGACAAACTAAACTCTGTAATGAATAATAAGGATCATCATTGATCATGCCAATTATCAAATCTTGTCTATGCCATACAACAATCTAAACATGCCAGAAGCTGAAGCTACACAAAGATGCATGATTTGCCTAAGACAAAGAATGCCTCCAAAAAATATAACCAGCTATTATGAAGCTTATTATAATTACTAATACACAAATAATTCGAGTTCAAACAAGGTTCAATACTGGCATCACAAGAATCCTTTGACTATACTTGAAGTGAAAAGTTCTAGTGAATTGCTTGAGCTTTACAATCAAGATGTCATAGCCAATTGAGTGCATAGGTTTCAGGAGTTAGAGAGATGCTTTTGCTAATGCACAAAGTCTTCACCAGGAAACAATTTCACCTCTCCATCATGATTTAGTGATAGCAATTCTCAGAAAGTAAATACTACAAAGCTCAGTAAAGGGGAAACAGAACAGAATCATACCAAGAGGTGGCCTTGGAGAGTGCCACTGCCGAAACCGAAGGAAGCCTTGGTCGGGCCGCGGCCAGAGATCTCGTCACGCACGTAGGCGATCCGGAGCGGCATCATCAGCCACGGTATCACCTCCTTCACGCAGACGCAGAACCTCTCCCCTTTCTCGACCGGCGTCTCCGGATCCACAAACGTCCATCCCAATTCAAAGTGCCTACACAGACAAGCATAGCATCAATCCGACGAGAGAACAATCGGAACAGGAGAAGACGGGAAACAACGGGTATACTTCCAAGAGAGGAGGGCGGATTTGGCAAGGTCGAAGGTGCGGGGACCCGCGCCGAGGAGGACACGGGCGCGGTTGACGAAGAAACCGCTCTTGGAAAGGGCTTCTTCTTCGACTACTACGTTGTCTCCGAGACTACTTCGAAGAGAAGAGGAAGCGCCGTGGAATTTGGGGTCGTAGTTGAAGTCGCCGGAGCGGGCGATGCAGGCCTTCTGCTGCTGTCGCGTGGGCCGCCCCAAACTAAGGAACAAGCCGCCCACCATTATGCCTCGAGTTACTGCTATGCCAATGCCGCGGTCGGCGTCCCACCAAGTAGGATGTTTGAGGTGGAGGAACGATGATGGGATGATGCGCCGTGTTGGCCAACGGGTACGGGTTACGGATCCAAAATTGGTATCCGAACCCAGAATTCCAACCTCAAGCAAACAGCGTCACGTGCGGGCCTCTCTCGTTTAGGCCCAAAAGACACGGAGTGTCTTATGTCGAAGAGATGCAATGAGATTAACTGGATCCGATCACCGATGTGAGAGCAACAAAAACGAATATCTAAGGATTTTAGCTCAAAAAAAATTATTTTTGGGCCATTTTGTCATCCAACAGGTGTATGATAAGATCACCATAAGGTCCGGATACCGCCCCGTTCTCCAGAAGAGAGCATGATGGGCCACAAACTTAAACATCGGCCCAAATATCGGCCCATGTTGGGAACGGAGGCCATGGACATTGGGTGACACGCGACTGCGAAGAGAACACAGCTTTGATCTCTGGCCGGATCCAGTTTTCATGCTCTCTCCAAATAAATTGATTCGAACTATCTAAAATGTTTATTTAAATATTTTTTTTCATCTAACTTAATTATATCCTTACATCTATTCTTAACATTACTAAGATTATATCTTATATTTTTAATTTAAATCTTACTTAATCTAAAATTTTTAGTTTTTAAAAATTATCTCCACAATTTAACTCTTAACAACTAAAACAATATTATCAACAAATAATATATACCGACAAGGTTTATTTTATAAATAACTTATAAAATCATCCATTATCAACATAAAAAAAATAAAAACTTAATACAGATTCTTGATGTAATCTATACTAATAATAAACAGTTTTAGAAACCCTAGACCTTTTCTAAATCAATAAAAGCTATATATATATATATATATATATATATATATATATATATATATATATATATATATATATATATAGTGAAACATAATTCCTTGTGATATGTGATTTGTTGCAATTCTCTTTCTAATCCTTCTTCAAGAAGATGTATGGTTTCTAAGTTCTGATGGAACCTTTAGGAGTCACTCAGAATTGCACAAATGTTACTAACCATCAGCATAACCATATGCAGTGACATGATACTACAACAAATAAATCATCATCACTGTTCTATGTTGCCATTAATGACACAACCAAAAAGTGAGGATACTGCATCCTTTGAGAACCATACCCTGAGGATGAGAGAAGAAATCCAGGATCAAGTGCATGCCTTCATTGGAGATGTGCTAAAATCTTGCTTGCTAACAAGAGCTTTTGCCCTGTGTCTTCTCTTGAAGACATCTTGCCTGAACCTCTTGGTTTCTATCTGCAACTCCATGAAAGGATTCTTCTCTATGCACTCCTTTTCACCTTCCAGCATTCTTTGCCTCTTAATGACTGCTTTCATGGCAGCTGATTTGTTCTCCTTCTCCTGTCGATGAACCTCCTCCTGCGCATCATCAAAAGATTTCATAGAATATGATAGGTTTTGCAAGACAATTTCAAATCTAAGTGCATTCATAATCATTTCATGAGTGACTTTTGCAGGAATGGTGTCAGACAGACACATCGATGAGGTATCATAACTGTGACTCATAATTCCTTAGAAGCCAATTTTCATATGAAGCATAGGTGTGATGCTGACAGTAAAAAAGTGAACACAACTACTAAGCAGTATCTTAGGATGTCACCAGAATTAAATAGATTTAAATGTGCAAATCAATGTGCTGGAATTAGTAAAGACATGAGATTTGGTTAGTGGCTCAGAATATGGCACTGCATACTGTTTGTGACCTTCAACTGTGACCAAGAATCAGTATCAGAAGAGATGTTGCAATTAATTACCTGGAGATTTTGTATCAGATTGTCGAGAGACTTGATTTTCCGATGTGGCCAACGAGGAATGCCAAATTCTCTACATTTTCTCTTCAGAACAGTAAGTCCAACCCTCAGATATTTCGAAGCTTCAGTAATTGGAAGATCGAAGTATTTAACAAGGTCGGTTAAAGCAATATTAGCTACATGCTCTGTTGCAGCCCTCTTCTTCTTCTTCATGGAGATTGCAAGTTCTGCAGTCTTTCACAGAAACCATTAGAAGCCATAGCTAAGAGGATAGACTTATCAAGAAATGAACTTATATGATTAATCTTTGCGAATAGAGGAATAATGGACTTGCATGTCAATTTTCTAAATGTGCTCTGACAATAAAGAACTATCTTTATTCAATATATCCTAAATGGCAACATCCAAATATAAGATTCTTTTATACAAAGAAAACAAATTAATGTCCTAAACCATCAGCAATTCCCTATTCATCGCAATGGATCATTCAACCACAACTGTTATCATATTTTACATTCTAACCTATACAATTGCTCACAATAATATCTCAACCACATTTGTTCATAGATTAACGGCATAGTATATGTATCAAATCGATAAATAGTATATATGTGCCAGAAACAAATTGTGCTTTTCCATGCATCCATCTAACATTATCTAAATCATCGATTTGGTTGCTCATCAAAATAATCTATATCACACTTGTATGTACTGATAAAAATGTGAAACGGAGAGGAGTGGAAGAGTCTGCGAGTTGATAAAAGACACCAATGTAAGAGTGAAATATATTTAAAAGATGAAAAGAAGTTTATTCTTTTTTGGAGTGATTGTAGTGAAAACCAGTATTCATAGAAGACTTCCTACCTTGTAAGGTTCTGTGATTTTTCTGATTCCTCAACTTTACATGTCTGATAGTGGAACATGAATCTGAGGACCCATCTTCATAACCAGTATCTGCATATTCTTCTGTATCATGGGGCTCTTTTCCTTCACATACCTGAATCCCCTTTGAAGCCAAACTGATGGTATTTTTAGTTTCCATTTCACACCTCAACTGGAATGCCTCCTGGAGATCACATAACAAAGTAGGTATATTCTTCAACCTGGGATTTCTGCCATACACATATGAATCTCAGTTATAATTCTAATTGCAAACCCCAGTAAGAACCGTAATCTCAAATACAGAGATTACTAAAAATTTCAGAAGGTGCTTCTATAAGAGCTTACTTCGGTGTAGATTGTTCAGTTTCACTTAGGTTTAAAAACCTTGAAATGAACTTTGAAGATGGTCTTGAAGTAGAAAGTCAAATAGTTCATTAGCTTAGGACCAAAACTTAAGAAATATAGAAACAGGAAGGGAATATAGTAATTCGAGGAGCTAAGGCTAGCGACTATGATGCAGGAACAGAGCTGGTAAGAAATGAAAATAGATCTAGTGTCGTTGACAGTCTGCCCACAGAAGTTTGACTAATAAATATCAACCTATAGCCAAATTTTCAACGATCACATATAGGAATTAGGAATGCATGATAAGATACATGACAAATTTGCTCGTCTGAAAACTAGAAGAGCTTTTATCAAGACAAAATAAAAGGCTAAAACAAAGGCAGAAAGAAAACATAAAGCAAATTCCAAATCTTGAGTGAATGTCTTGCTCATGGTAGAACAAACATGAAGCAGGCATAACAACCCGAATCTTGACTAATGCAGTAACTCAGCCAGTAAAGAACATTAGAGATGTCTTTGGAAGAGTTTGCATGCGACAATTGTATTTCCTCAAAACATGACGCAGGAACAAAAGCTGCACACATGAACTATGACAAGGGATTCCTAGACTTCTTGTAGTTTTCACTAGAATCCTTATTGTCACACAGTTCAAGAGGCTGGGACAATAAGCGGAGCCTCCCCAGAATCTGTTATGCAAACCAATCACTCTATCAGAAGCAATAACTCGAGAAAAGGTGAAATTTCTAGCAAGAATAACAAAGAACAACCAATTGTCTATCAAAGAAATAGCAAAGCAAATGGACAACTTCCTTCAATCTAAATATAATCTGCTAGGGGCAATCCTGACATGAAATGTATGATTAAGAAGATGGAGAAGAATGGCTTCTTTCTGACATTTTTTTTTTTCGTTTTCCTTCACTATTTATGTTACCTGGAAAGACAGAGGAGTGGAGGAATCGGAGAAGAAGAAGCGGAGAAGGCCACGGTAGAGTCAAATGCAAGTATACAGCGCCAGAGCCCCACACTCTGCTCCTCCTTGAACCTGTACCGGAATCCATTACCACCATCACCTGCCGTCGACGCCACCATGATGGGCCCAGGGATGGGATCACGCATTTCGATGCAGGAGGAGGGGGAGAAAAGGAACTCCCTCTCCACCCACTCCTCCTCCTCTTCCGAGGCTTGGTACCCATGCAGGCTTCTGATTAGCTCTGCACCAAAAACCAGCGATTGAGAGTGAAGCTTGCGGGAGTAGAACAGAGAGCTCTGTAAGAAGATAACCTTGGTTGAGGATGCTTCGGAATACAAAGAGAGCAGATAGAGGACGAGAGGAGGAGGAGGGAAAGGCTGGGGAGTGCATGATGTTACAGCGGCTACCAGTGGAACATGAACTCTTGTCTGTGCTTCCATTCCCTGAGTGCTGCTTTAACTCTGTTGGCATGCAACGAGAACGTGACAACTGACACGCGAGGGCGCAAGGTGCGCATGAAGGCGAGAACCAGCCGCGGACAACCTGCATGTTGTTATCTCTCTCTCTCTCTCTCTCACAGAATACCTTTCGGAAAAGAAAGCTGAATGGAATAAAATACATATCCAAGTTGCAATTTGCAGTGGGGGTTGTTCGGCGTCCTGCTTCTCAGACTGTATGTGATAGATCACGATGCACCGGCTGACTTACCATCATCTGCTTCCTCCACGGAGCTGCTGAAGAGAGCGAAACCAGAGTTCGCCGATAGATCTCAGAAGACTGGCCTGAGCTGAGCTTGGCGAGGCAGAGAGCGACCTCTGGATGTGAGTCGTTCATCGGACACGCTCTCCGAGAGTGTCCCGAGTCTTGAACAAGTGGAAAAGGTTGGGATAAGCTTCTCAACCTTTGACCGGGTGAAGTTGACTTGCTACTCCCTGTTCAGTCGAGTGTCCTGAATTCCTCATCGAACACCATCTGGGTGATCACAGCTGACACGCACCTGAATTCCAACGTCTT